TTAATTTTGATAAAATGTCATCTGAATTAACACTGCTTTTCCATGGGAATTTTCTTGCTTCAACACTACTTTATCCCCAAAGTGCAGAGCAAACCAAGGAATATATTCCTTTTAAGTACCCTTCTACAGCAAGAGGACCTCTTGACTCTTCTATGACCTCTGGGTTCCTTCTGATCAGAAAGCAGGTGACTAAGTTCCTTCATGAGGGCAGGGAAAGACAGCGAGACTGAAGCTCTAGAAGGGTTTGTTGTAAATTGCAGCACTCTTCTTCCAAAGGCAGGGATCCGTAACAGAAGAGACATTAAAGCTGGAGGCATGTCACTTCTGCACTTTCTGATAGAATACATCGAATTACAACTTCCTATAAACTTTCATAATCTTTTTCTTGAAACACATATTGTATTTCCATACTTAGACTGAACTCAAGCTTTCTATCAGTTTAAGATGATCTGCAAAATAAGGCACAGCAGCAGTTAGTACAGAGCGCTGAATTCCACGGCAGTTAAATGAAGCATACTCCTAAGACACCACAGGGGTTCCCAAAAGTATTTCCTTCAATGTCTGCTGAGAAATCATATATTGCTGAAGCTACCTACTGTACATACCTTTTTGCTAAGTCTGACACAGCCAATCGTGTATGCTAGACCTTCAGAAGCCCCTGAACAAGTGCTTATATACACACGTGTTTACAGCAGCTGTTGTAATGCTTATTCCACTCCCTGCTCCTGCAACTGCATGTCAGGGCATATCATTGATTTTAGTGCCGCCTTGGTCAATATGCCGCTGTTCTTTCAAATGCTAGTCTTTCTCACTTGCCTTTTGAATGGATAGCAAAGACAACAGGCTCCTTGCAGAAGACATTCCTGATTCAAAGTGCTGTTTCTTACATTTAACTTGCTCTACCCCACGGACCACAACCTCTTTGTCAGTTTAAATGCGGTCTTATTTGAGCCAAAGAGAGAAATACAGTTACAATTCTAAAGTTAGACGACGGAAAGCAAAAGCCACCACTACTGCTATGTGGGATATATCAAAGAGTTTACATACGTTGTAGAGTAGGATGTATTTCTATCCCTGTGAGCTCCTCAGCAGACTGGGAAACAAATACTCCAGTCACGTACGGTTCAACAGCAGTATTGCTAGCATTTGGTTTTTTCATTCATTTTATTCATTTCATTCATTCATTCATACACCACTGAACACCAGTTTAAATTGCTTTTGCTATTTATGTTGTTTTGTTAATTTCTTGGGTCACTCATACTCAAGACCAGTCAAAACATCAGAGTAATTTCAACTGCTTCCAGATTAGATGCATTCTTACTATCTGTAAGAGCATGTCAAGAACATACTCTGCCAGAGGCGGAAGAGAATTCACGTAGCTTTCTGTGTTACAGTATGCTGTCAAAGTGTGACAAACGGTACTAACGGTCGTCTTAAAATTTTGAATATAAGCTGTGAGATCACAAACTACTTCATAGAGTTACAATTCTGAATTTTTGAGTATTATAATGAAACAAGGGCTGTTTCTGACAATAACTTAAATCCAAGACACTGAATACCTATGTACCAGTCAGCTGGAAAAAAGTGCTGTAAAATCACTTCGGAGTACACTATTAGTGTACAACTACGTACAATTAGTGTACAATCAGCAGTGCACACTTTAGGTACAGTTAGCGTACAATCTAGCTTTAAAGCAGGAATTGCACCTTTAAAGCCCATTTTGCCAATTGAAAGAAATATTACTGAAAGGAAATTATACAGTGTTAAACCCTTCCCCCAAACACATAACTGAATTTTGAAAAGAAATTAATTCAAAGACTCCTGTGAAAAAAAGACTTATATTTTGCTTGGGTACTAATCCTCAGGACAACACTGTATAGTCTCATTTGGTTACGAGTATATAGACATTTTTAACATTGTTCCTATACAACCACTAGTTAGTTGTTTTCAAAGACTATTAAGAGAACGTAACATTTAAACATTTTTTGTTATTAAAGAAAAAAGCCCTTGGTTTTCACATATTTTCTTCTAGAGAGCTGTATTATAAATTATTAGCACATCAATATGCATGGCAAAACATGCTGGAATTCACTTATGAAATTAAGTTGTATGTCTCAAAAATGGAACTTTGGGGAGTATAACCAAATACTCAACTGTGCATGGGCGGCTTTGTAAAGTATTTAAGCAACTTCAGCATGCAAATATGTTTAATACACACACGTTATTTTTCAATCTTCCAGAGTAAGAATTGCATTGTTATTACTCACTTGGAAGTAACACGTTTTTGTAACATATTACCATTTCACGAAACTACGTTCTACTAGAAACTAAGACTGAGCCAGCAGACTGATTCCCCCCCCCCCCCCCCGTTTTTTTTCCTTTTAGGAAAAAGTGATTCAGACTAGGTCATCCGCAAAGTTGCATTTAGAGACAAACTATGTGCATAGCTGAATCCAGCAGAGTAACTCAACTTTGCCCTAAACGTAGACCGGAAACACAGCACACCCCATCCATAAGGGACAGAGACATCTCACGCAAGAAACAATGTCACAGATTTATTTTCTTCAGTTTTAAGTTTTTATAACCTCAACTTTGTTTATCCCACATAAGACATTTTCAGTAATAAGAGATCGCTAGTTCATGTACTATACAATTGCAAGTAAAATGAGGGGGATGTGAAGTACAAAAAAATTGAAAAATACTAGCTTACATTGGGTAGACTTAAAATACTGCTCAAAAAAAGTGGCTTTTCAGCTTTTTTACCTTTGCAGTTTGGAAATCTTCTCTGCAGTCCAAAGATAGGCAATGCATGGAGAAAAAAGCAACTCCAAAGCAGGTGGAATGAAGAAAGCAGCACAACAGCAGGAAAAACAAAGGAAACGGCAATCGAAAGAGGAGAGAGACACTCTTCCAGTCACAAAGTCCAAAGAAACACATTTTGCAGGTGTTGCAGAAATGCATGCTGCTGTCCATCCATCTAGCTGGGTTCATGAATCACACTCCATACTATTTAGTAGTCTACATTTATACTTGCAATACAGAGAGCACATCTCTTGTATGGTACATAATTCCTTGCCCCAAAGAGCTTACAATCTACATTCATAAAAAAGAATGCATCAAGTAGCTGGATCAAGATCAAACAAATGGAGAAGACAGGCAAATAATTTTATAAGGTATTAAAGCCGGGTTACATTACTAAGTGAGGTAACTTCTGAACATCATCATTGGCAGTGATGTTCTTAAGACATAAGTAACTTCTCAGTTAGAAGCTCTTCTGACCATGAAAAACTGTTTTAAAACATATTGAATAATGCATTAAAAGTAATCCACAAAAAAATCTTAAAAATAGACTTGCTGGCAAGAGGCAAAAATGTTCAAATTGCCTAAATTCTTCACTTGAGACACTAACACTAAATAATGGATGTTACAGAAATTCATATGTACATGTCACATTTGAATGTAAAAGGTTTTTTTACATTTAGGCTTAAAATGTTAAATTCTGATTTAAGAATCCTGCTGCTATAAACATAGGCTTAATACTTAAATATTAATATGAAAATAGTTCTATTTTAAAAATGTATTTTTAACTTTAAAATAAACTATGGACAAGATACAGTTGGTTTGAAATCAACATTCTTTGACTACAGTAAGTGACCCACTTTTCCCACTTTTTTTTTTTTTTTTTTTACACACTCGTCTTGCTACTTGGCAGTTACAATAGAAGTGACTAGTCTATCAATTTTAAAGTTTGTTTTGGGTTTTGGTTTGGTTTTTGTGGTTTTGGGTTTTTTTGTGGGTGTTTTTTTGTTTGTTTGGGTATTTTTTTGCATTTCCCTGGTTATATCTTCTTTTTTAAAGTCAAAGTCTTGCAGTTTATCTACTAATTGGCAAGACATAGTTGAAATGTAATTTATATGTAACCTTTGTGCCCATTTAGCTATCATTTCTTAATCCATTAACATGCAAATAGAAGCAGCTATGACGTTTGTGTCTTTCGGACCAGGGAATCTTGCTTTGGATTATGTACATAAGCTGTCTGCAATACTTCCATGACATTTGAAAATGTGTTGGAATAGTTATAGTAATAAAAATTAACCAAAATTGTCCAATCTATATATGATAACCAAAAAAGAGAAATACTTATTTTTCACCTTAACAAACAGCATAGCCAGTGGAAAAATCTGACTTGAGCTATCCTTTTGTAAGGGAAGCAGATGTTAAGAGAATTACATCTGAGCACAGAAATGAGACAGTGAGGATAAGGACTGGTAACAGGTGATCCATTTAGTTTTAATTTTGAAAAGTACTCTCAAGGAAATCAAACCAGAAATGAAGACTAAAGAACTATACAGATCTTTGAGCCAAGTCAGTACTAGCATTTACTTTTTAGAAGTTACAACCACATTAGATTTGCTTATAGGAGGATACAAAAGGAGTATAGCCACAGATTACCAAGATAATTTGATCACTTCTGACCAACAGCTAAGAAATGAGGGAAGAAAATGGTCAAGGGATTATGATCAGCTGTTTCTCATACATGCCACAAGATTACAAAAAATTCCATACAGACCTGTAATAAAACCCTCCCCATTATTTGGATGAGTTTCAATTCCCAGGTAAAGATGAATCAACAAAATTAAAATATTGTGCTGTTTTATTGGTGTAAAAATCACACAATTGCTAGTTCTGATTCTGCAGAGATACATCCATGCAGTTAAACATCTATGATCCCACAGCCAGAAGAAGCCATTAAATAGAATATCTGCTGTTAGTCAGCAATTAATGCAAATTTACATATGAGATCAAAAGGTGTGTATCATACAATATACAACAAATCCTAATACAGTACATCAACCTGAATAGCAGGATACACTCGGGGAACTCTGTTAATAGTGAAGCCTGTCTATATGCCAGAGAAATAAGGCCTGAAACAAGATGACAGAAGGTACCCCAGAATTCCTAAGAAGCAAACTGTTCATTTTTTGTTTTTATTTTCGTTCTGCCGGGAATTAGAAGTTCATAGAGGTATTGACACATTACTTGACAATACAATTTGTTATAGTGAAGACTGGCAGATGTGATCTGTTATTAAAAGGTAATGTGTAAAACATGCAGTTACAGGTGGTGCTTAGGTGATGTGTAATTAATGTTGGGGATTTACACCCAACTCTTTTCACAAAAGGGAGGATTGAAAAAGGTCTGTTTGATAGACTACCAATTGTACCATAAATCTTTATATGCATGCGGCTGAATCAGGATCATGAATGGATAAAATGTGAACACCTGGCAATCTGTGGTTACATACTCTATAATGTATGCAACAAAAACACAAAATCAAATCCAGCTGATATGGCAAACAGCCTGCAAGAACTCTGTCAACCTGAATAAGTTGGTTTATTGCAAAGAGGCAGGCCTTCTAGAATTGTGAACAACTTTCCAATTGTGAAAGGCAGCTTGGGAAGTAACATTGGCTGATGACAAACTACTAGTTTTTCTCTTTTCTGGCACAATAAAATAAATGCCATAGCGAAAGAAGAGTTTATGTGCTTAATGTTTAAAGTCAACTGATTAGCAATCCGCTTCTGCAAAGATGTTTCAATGGGAAAAAAAGAAACCACTAAAAAATTCCAGTTGGATATTTTAGCGACAAACTCTGCAAACTCAAGTCCAACAAATATCACAGATGTCCACAGAAAATTATTTGAGAGGCAGTGTCACATTCAAGGAAAAAGTTTTTTTTTGTCTCTTACTGAAATTAAAATACTTAAATACAGAAGTGGACAAATTGACAAAACAGAACCACAACATTTAATGTAGAATACAGTGCACTGAGATAGATGTATGGATCTTTAAATAGGCTTTGAAACCAATACCCCTTTCAAAATTAGTAAATTCACAGTTAACGGCAGTAGGCTTAGAGGTGAGAGAAGGGTCGAAGTTGTTCCAGTTGGACTTCCAGGGAGATTCTCTCTTCAAGAACATCCTACAAAAGAAAGATTTGCTACTGACTGTCCACAGAGAATGAATATTTAATATTTCCTCATGCAATCAGAACCAGTAAATGTCAGCTTCAGTTTTGAGAACTAACGTCCAGGACTTTTCTAGAATCTGGAGAACTCTTCCCATCAGTGGAATAGAAGATTGGCTAGCTAGTAATTACTCAAATGAAAATCAATACTTTGCTCAAAGGTGAAGCCATTCAGTATTTCTTCATTCCTTTCAAATCACTCAAAACCACAAAGTTGTAACCAGCTGCAAACCCAACTACAGTATTTTCAAATAAAGTCTAAAATGTTAAGGGGATAAAAGCTCTCATCTCAGTTAAGGGGTTTTGAAACTCACCTTCCCCCCCCCCCCCCCAAGTTTTTCCTCTTATGTGAATTTTATAGACCTTGACTCTTATAAAGAGTTACAAGCGAAATTCAGGCTTGATAGTTTTTAAAATAGCCTATCTTCCAGTCTAGACAGTACCACATTAATTCATGTTTACATTTAAGGTGGGTTTTTTTTTTATTAACTTGATGATTAAAATTAGAGATCTTAAGGTAAGAAAAATAGCAAGAGAAAGATGCTAAGAGGGTGCCTACAGATAAATCCAAAATTATAATAGCTGACCTAGATAAACAGATGACTACTGTTCTTCTTAAGCTGCAAGTCTTGTATTCCAGCTTATTACGTTTGTTTAAAAATATTTACAAATTTATTAAGACTTTAAGGTTTACTTTTTCCTTCAAAAAGGAGGCCACTTCAGCTGCTCTTCTCAATACTGTTTTTAAAGTATCTGATGACCACAACTACTACCCCAAATTATTAATACTAAGTTAAGATTTCTGCTTTTTTATTTTTAGTATAGCTGAAAGAAAATCAATACATTGAAAAATGTGGTTTGTAGTAGTAAAAACGTCCTTTAGAATTTCACAAAGCTTGTCACAATCAGGTATATTCTACGATCTATAAAAACAACTAAGTATTTTATAGAAATATCCTCTATTACATACATCATTGTTTTGCAGAGATGCCTGTTACTGTGCATCACTAACATCTTGCCCTCTCGGGCTCTTCTCTTAAACAGACAAAAGGTTATGGAATTACCTTTAGTTGCTGCTGTAGTTCACTATTCAATCTGGCCAAAACAGTGTTGGTTTCCTTGTTACGTCTGATTGATGCCTGAATTGCCTTCTTGTCTTTCCCCACTGATCTGAGAATATATTAGAAGTATTGTAATAAGTAATTTCGTTGCTTAGCGGAACATCTCATTTATAGTCCCTCTTTTTTAAATGAGCAGAATCCTCTTTTCAATTTTTTTTAACTTATTGCACTGTTAATTTCCCCTCTTCCACCTGGCTCAATTAACCTTGTTTGTTTGCATGGAAGCCACATACACTTGGTTTCAATGAAACAGCAAGAAGCACATTTTAAAAACTTGTCATAATCAATTTTCTGAAGTCCCAACACACCGTACCACATTCATTTACCTCAAAGTGACTAATATAATAGTCTACATTCATGCTAGGACACAAAGACTATAAATTTTGGACTGTTCATAGTGACCATTATTTAAAATCAAACACTACATCTTAATACTTCCACCACTTATTTCCAACATACTTGCAGAAGGTGTCTCAGTAGTAGAGGCTTCGGGATGATCTTGTTTAAAGACCAAAAACCTTTAAATTGTTAAATTAATCTAATTCAAACACATTGAAATTGTTTACAATTCCTAGAACAGAAAGTGTGTATGCTGTTTAAATGTAAAATTTCCAGTAACAGATGTATTTATACACTTCTTGGGTTACCTAGGAATAGATGGCTGTGAAGCAAGAACAGCAGCTATGACACCTGTTTTCTGTGTATGTTCCTCAGCTTCAGGTCTTAGCTCGTCTTCTGACTTTAATCTTCTGCGAATAGGCTTTGGTGGTGGAGCAAGTGGGGTAGTGCCTTTACCCTGAAGAGGAAAACACAGCCTATTAATTTTCACAAACTGCATTTTACTTGTATTATAACCTGGTAATTTGTTCGTGTAACATATTCTTAAATGCAGTTCCTGAGCTAACTGAATTTATAACCTATCAGATATTTTCTGATGGACATCTAGCTGCATTCTCATATCGTCTGGAAAAAAACTTAAGTACTAAATCCTACCCCGTGGTGAAAGGGCACTAAGTTGCTACACACTGACAAAGAACTGTGCAAGCAGAAACACCATGGTACAACTGACCATTGCAAATACACATGTCAGAGCACACTTCCCCCACAGTAATTATGTGTCTGTAACAAAAACAAAAGAAAAGCTACCATTAACCAAGTTCTGCACTAAAAGTTCTGCTCCGTTTCAAAATTTGAACACTTAGAAGTATCTTAATTTTCGGCTATCTCGAGAATATAGCTAATCACAAACATCTTCTGATGCAAAGATTCACCACACACCTGCCTATTTCAAGCACATACTGGACCTAAGAAAACTGGGTTCAAGTGGAAGCATATAAAGTTGCTTTTGGAAATCAAAACAGTTGTATAATTTCATACACATCAGACAACCACACTCTCCTTCCAAGTGTACTTTGCATACCGCACTAGTGGGGACATTAGCAGGTGCTTTGTCTTCAACTCTTCCATCTGCTTTGGCAACTCTAAGAGAACTTGCAGAATCAGAGGCCTTTTCAACCTAAAGGGATATAAACTATATTTAGAAAACTATGTCTTAACAAATATTTCGTTCGGCAACAGTTGGAATAAATAAAAGTATGCTGTGTTTCTGATACATTAATAGAGTTAACACTTAAAATTCCAGTTCAAGTCTTCTTTAGAAGCACAGACCGGAATACAACACCACCACCTACTTTGGAGCTAAGCCATCTAAAACTATCTTGGTCACAAACACCGTTTTGGCCTGGGAGCAGGTTACAGAAGAGGAATATAGTAAAAAGCTGTACTTCCAGAATCCATAGTCAGACCTGGCTTTTGATACAGAAATTAAGATTCGATACACAATCTAAAATCACTACGAAAAAAAAGACAAAGTAGTTACTTGAAAGTACTCTGCTCTCAAGCATTGCACTCTGGATATTGGAAGACCTCTGAATAAAGTCAAGTCCCTAACGTTACGAGGCACTGTACAGTACAAAAGAGGCTGTGGCGTCATGATGAACTTCTACAGCTGTTTCTGCTATTACACTACCACCATTATCTATCTGTTATTGCCAAAGGTTAATCCCTCCAATGGAACGCAATGCAACTGTTCCCCATCCACCTCAATGCAAAACAATCAGCAAGCTTAACTTAAGCAGTTTCCAGTGGCAGCTTAAGCCAATGTAGCTGATTTTGCAATGAGGTACATGGAGAGTGCTCAAATGGTTCCACGTCATTACCTTCCTGATTAAGGGAGGCAAGAACATGCTGCTGATAGTTGCAAGAACTTTAAAGCACCACAAGTACTTTTGCAACTGAGGATGCAGAAGTGCCCCAGAGAACTTACAATCTGGATGAAGGCTACAAATTACAAAAGGAAAACATGAAGCAATTCATATAATAGCAGTAAGCTATTATGACATTAATAGGAATAAACCCTGAGCCTTCCAAACTTTTGAGTCCTGTGCTTGTAGTAGGAAACAAGGTTTTGTAAACATCTCTATCAATCTATTACAGAAGCATGTCAGAGCTCTGTTCACTTTAGCTGTTTGTCCAATGGCTTTGAACAAAACCAAATTACTGGAGTTTTAGCAGATGTTTACGATACTTGACAGCAACCTCATTTATTAATATAGACTACTTTAAAACTTACGAGTAAGTCATTCGGAAAGCTGACGAGAGTGAGCAGAAGAAAAGTTCTGCCTGTGCTAAGTCTTAAGTGCACCAACACAATTTTGTTTGTGCACATATATGCTAAGTACAGAATCTTTTAAATTACAATCAAGAACTGAGAAGAAAAGAGTTTCTTCTGCCTAGGTGTTTAGCAGTTACTGAATCAGTGTAGCAGTGGCTAATGTAATTGCTTTCTAGCAATGGATTGGGACACCATAAAAAACCCCACTGAGTCCAAACAGCAGAAGTAGGTTTTAACAAAGTCTCATAACTGTTGGTAGTATTAAGAAATTGACCAGACCTTCACTTCTGCTCACCTGCAAGACTTCTGAGTGTGTTTCCATTTCGTCATCGTCTTCTTTGTTCACACCTGAAACAGCAAATGCCTCAAACTGGCTGAAGTCTGCAAAATTTGGCTGTTCTGGTATTTGTTGAGGTGAGGTACTGGTATGAGCTATTAGGCCTTCAGCATCTACTGGGCGATGCACATGAGGACCTGCACCCTGCAATCAAGTAACAAAAATATTTAGTGACATTGTTCTTAACATAGTTATCTGATACAAAGAATCTTGCCAAACAACAGTTTGTGACGGAACATTAAAGATTATTTGCCTTTTTAGTGGACAAAGATTTATGTCCTGTCTGCAGGACAAAGTGCATCTCATCCAAGACGCAAACAGACAGACCACTCTCTGTGTTTATAAAAATAGAGACATATTTAAGAGAACAGAAAGTTCAATCAGATGTGCTATTATTCAGAGAATGAGCCCAAAAATGAATGCGCTATAGGACTATCTAGACTCATTGCACAGTAGGTGTTTCCTGCTGTAACACAGTCCAGCTTGGCTCTGTCAAGCTTGATACAAATTTTTAGTCTACTTCCACAGGGAAACATGCTTATGTGATCACACTGTATGGAATATGTCTGTCATTGTACCCTCCTTCCTTGCAGATGATTTCTGGATCTATTGACTGACTTCAGCTGCTGGTAACTCAGATTCTAACAAGTAGCTGCTGCTGAAAAACAACTGAAAAGCAATTTTATCTGTCCCAATCCACACAGCAGTTGAAGGATTCAGATGGTTGAGACAAAGAAAAAACAACTTTTCCAGGATTTGCTTTCTACCAAATCAGCTAACCGAACTGACTCATACTAGGACTGCAAAGATCACCAAGTCTATGCCAAAGGGAAAAGTGGGATCACTCCTTCTGGGAGCAGGCATGTCATGGAGGGGAAATCGACCGGCCTGGCTGAATAGGGAGCTTT